CTTTTTGTTTGTTGGAGAGTTGAAAACTTAGTACTGGAATAACTTGAAGAGTTTATAGCACTTCCCATAATATGTGGATTGGTCTATTTGATTACCACATGGCACAAAAAAATTCTACGTGGCATTGAAAATGTCTAGAAGTCTTTTTAGATGTGGAGTTGAGCAGGTAGCTCGACTGGTCGAGACTCGCGAGGTTGAGCTTGAGCAGGTCGAAACTCGGTTTACGGTGTCGAGCGGGTCGTGCGAACGGGTCGAACAGTCGACGCTCGCAGGGTCGAGGTCGATGCTCGCAGGGCTGAGGTTGACACTCGCAGGGTCGAGCGTGGGCGGATCGAACGTCGCAGGCGGAACGCACGAGGAGGTGCACGCGGGAGATGATGCAGGCAAACGCGATCCGAAGATGTCGCGCCATGCTAGCGATGACGAGGATGAGCGCAAGCCGAGTAGATCGGGCCAACTTGGATAACGCACGCTAGGCCATGAGCCGCAAGCTACGAGAATGATCTAGAAGATTGCTGCTGATTCTAGATTAAATATTTATTCTCTTATTTTCCTAGATTGTTAGGTATTTTCATAAGTTTGGTACCTTTAGGATCCTAGTATTATTATCTTTCCATAGGTTAGGGATTCTTATCTCTTTATTACTAGTCTTAACTTTGCCTTTAAATACTCGCGTTGTTACTTCAATTTGAATAATTTAGTTCATAATAAAAATTCGATCTTTTAATCAAACCTTTCGTGTGTTAGTATTTTTTAAAGTATTAATACGCACTTGTGTAAAAGAAGGCCTAGGCGTGTCGATTGTGCAATGTATCATCAACGAGGGAAGGCCTATTGCCTGTCCGTTTGAGATAAATCTAGTTGTCGGGATCACGATCACCATCATTGGTGCTTTCATTAAGAGAGCCGATCGTGAATCCCCTTTTCTTCCTTGATTTTAATTTTGGTTTCTAAATTAAAAAAAAAAAACTTCCATCATGACAAATCGCGAGAGGTTTGATGCTATTGATGAGACGATTGACAGCTTGGAAGATCGTATCGGAGGTCTAAGCGAAGGGCAATCACGCATAGAATCACGCATTGACGAAGGTCAACACCACCACAATCAGGCGATGGCTCGACTCAAGAAGATGTTTCACGCCATGAATCAAAGGCTGAATCGACCAGGCTGGCGTTCACCGGGAAGGGGCAAATCTAGGTCGAACACGCGAGGGTTGACGCAACCAGAGGATGAGGAGGACGAGACCGACAACCGGTCACAAAGTTTGAAAAGTAATAATAAAAAGTTTGAACGCTATTATGATGATGTAAATATAATTACAAATAAATATCATAATTAAAAATTCAAAACTATATATTTCATAAATTTTTAAAATATCACATTTCTATATATTAATTTATATTTTAAATCATCAAATATTGTAAATTTAAAATACTTAAAAATTAATATTTTTTTTAAAAAAAATCAAAGTCAAATTATTACAATACAATAGGGCCTTTAAGAATTAATATATGAGAAATCAATTATTACAATACAATAGGGCTTTTAAGAAAATTACAAGAATCAAAGTCAAATTTATGGTATTGTAGATAACGTTTGTTTTGGACATATATAATTTAATAAATATAATTAAGATTATTATTTTTAACATCAAGTGTAGAACACGGTTTCATGTTAATAATACCACTTTTTTAGTTCTTACCAATAAAAATATAAATATTTTATTATTTTTCTTAGAAAAGTATCAATTTTTTCATGTACCCATTTAGTAGGTACTAGTATTGGTATCAAAAAGACCTCCGACTGGCTAGATGGAGCTAGAAAGCCTGGATCTCGAGCTGGTTGCCGGTTGAACGTCCTCGAACTTGCAGAACTCTTACACAGAAGGCGGTCTCGGTGAAAAGCCTCCGATACTTAAAGATTAAATGTAGAAGATGAAATGCAGAGAGAGGGAGCTCTCTCTGTAATATAATAGAGAATGTAATGTGTTTTAGATATACATCACTCCCTTTTATAGGGAGATAGGGAGAAGAGCCCAAGTTGGGCGCGTAAGCTCCCCGTTAGCGAGCGTGTGAGCTGTCTCGATTATCAGAGCTGTTAGAGCCATCCTGACTGTTAGAGACTATTATGAGGCGTGGGCCACTGTGGTAGCGTCATGTTGTCTTACTCATGTAAGGGGTTTAATTCCCCTAAGATTCCACCTTATCTCTAAGCTCTCTTCATTAGGTGGTCTGATAGTGGACTTGGCCTCAATTCCTCGAGCTGGTAGGTCATCGATAGTGAATGTTGTTGTCCTGTCCATCTGGTCGATCATTCGACCAGGTGCCTCTTCCCATAACCTTCGACCTCTTGGCGTTCAGTGCTTTCTTCGGCCAGAAGATCTTTCAACATGAGTAATCCCCTTATTTCCTTCGACCCGCTGATCAAGTTGGTTCGGGTTGGTTGCCTCTCTAATTCAGTCGACCTGGTGTGGTTATCCCATATAAAATATATACATTTATGCATATGAATTCAAACAAGTTTCTTGTATGTATTTTTATTTTTTCAAAATAATGAAAACCTTAAAAAATGAGTTAGTTGTTGAGAATTTGACAAGAAGGGTTAATATGTTATAATTGAAAAGTCTATAAATTTTGATTTAGTCATTTGAATACTTTTACAATATTTTAAAAATTTATAATTCCTAAAAATGCTCTTATAAATCATTTTTTTTTTTTTTNTCAAGTTTTTAACATTCGAGAATACCCTCTTATTATTTCCTAAGAATCACTACTTTTTTCTTTTATTTTTTATTTTATTTTATTTTTTTCTTACCTTACCGTTGAGCTCCATCTCCTCCTATTAATCCAAACAGAACCAAAAATTTCTATAAACGCTCTAGGTTTTCTTTTGTACTAGTCGAACATTCGAGAATACCCTTTTGATACTCTCTTTATATTTCTCGTGGACTCCAAGAACTCTCTCGGCCCTTCACGCACCCAATTTTCTCAATCTACCTTTAACATTCACCTTCCTTGTCACTCATCTGTAAGTTTCCTGTTTTCCCCTAATCCCTGCTTTCTAAACTAATACGTAGCATCCGTTGAGACAATGGCCGACGAAGCCAAGGCCAAAGGCAACGCCGCATTCTCGGCCGGCAATTACGACGACGCCGTCCGCCACTTCACAGACGCGATCGTCTTAGCACCCACCAACCACGTCCTCTACTCCAATCGATCTGCGGCCTACGCTTCCCTCAGCAAATTTTCCGAGGCCCTTTCCGATGCGCAGAAGACCGTGGAGCTCAAGCCCGACTGGGGCAAGGGCTACTCGCGCCTGGGCGCGGCCCATATGGGCCTCCACAAATATGGAGAGGCCGTCTCCGCCTACAAGAAGGGCCTCGAGATCGACCCAAACAATGACGCCCTCAAGTCCGGGCTCGCAGATGCGGAGGCCGCCACGGCGCGGAGCTCCAGGCAGCCTCGAGGAGGGCCGGACGGGAACCCGTTCGGGGAGGCGTTCGGGCCGGAGATGTGGGTCAAGCTGGCGAGTGACCCCAGCACCCGGGGGCTTCTCCAGCAGCCGGATTTTGTGAAGATGCTGCAGGATATTCAGAAGAACCCCAATAATTTGAACCTCTATTTGCAAGATCCGAGGGTTATGCAGGCATTGGGGGTGCTGCTGAATTTGAAGTTCCAGACGAGGGACTCTGAGCAGGATGTGGAGATGCCCACAGCATCCAGTGGTGGGTCTCCAGAGAGGAAGAGACCTGCAGCAGCGGAGGCTGAGCCCATGAAGGAGGATAAGAGGCCGGAAAAAGAGCCCGAGCCCGAGCCTATGGAGGCTTCTGAGGAGAGGGAGAAGAAGGAGAGGAAAGCGCAGGCATTAAAAGAAAAGGAGTCTGGGAATGCCGCGTATAAGAAGAAGGATTTTGATACCGCCATTGAGCACTATTCGAAGGCAATTGAGTTGGACGACGAGGATATTTCTTTCATCACTAATCGGGCTGCAGTTTACCTGGAGATGGGAAAGGTACTTCAAGTTCTTGCTTAGCTAGAGTATTTTTGCTGTTGATGCATTTTTTCATTTCATGTTTATAGTTTTTTGTTGTATTATCAGTTCATCATGCACTACGAGTCGAGTTGTGTGACATTGTGGGATGTTTGCTAGTTTACTAGTGGCATTATAAGAATCTATAGTTGCCCGATACAACATTGTGATTTCCCTGTTAGATCTATCCACCGAATTTGCCGTGCAGATTCCAGTAAAGCTGTTTTTAGAAAGCTTTGCTATTTGTATTGGATCAAGCTTGGTAGATCAGTGAGATTACTTTGCAGTGACATTGGAGAGATGTCTTTATTAATTTTTTGGGTACTTACTTTATTCTTAAGGTAGCAGTCATGTGTTGCATTATTGTCTGCTATAGGATCATATTAGATTGTGTGACCTTTCAATTTCAAGCAGTTTATGGCGAGTGCCTCTCACATTTATGGATCATAATGTGCAGTAGCATTGCTATTTGATGTTTAGCCTTCCCCTGTGGCCTTCAGTCCACATTCTTTGCATATGCCAAATTGTTCTGATTTGTTTGCTGAAGTCCTCAGTGAATGTATTATTGAGTAATTTGGAATAGACCAGCCATTACCTGTGTTATTCCACTTAGATGATTTGGTGGTTCGGTCTAGTGGTGACAGGTTTTTGATTAAACATTTGGCCTGGTACTGTAGGTGGGTTGTATTTGTTTTAAGAATAGTTCATTTTTCATCTTCTGGTGACAACTATACCGCTGCACTTTGTCATTTTATCTTACCAGAATGTGACACATTAGTTGCAGGTGAAATTATAATTTATTTGGTGAAATAGGTTTGGGCTCTGTAAATGCCTTTTCAAATGGTAAAAGGATACCAGTTGAGCATGTCATGATGAAATGTTAAGATGATGCTAATAATCGCACACTTATCAAAATGGATAAACCACAATTGATTAACTACAAAATCTATGCATAAAGTGAAGAAAAAGAAAAACAGGCCCTTACGTGTAAGTAAAAGCTGCATAAATGTTCTCTCTGTGTTTATTTTCTTTTGCTTTTTAATCTTGAATGGTGGAATTTGATACTATCATGGTACGAATGAAACTAATATCTTTTGTGTTACATTTGTCATTTGATTTCAATCATCTCTCTTTACCCTTCTTTTTACGAATTCACTCAAAATCTCCTTCTAGGTATATGATCCTTTTGTTTAGCGGAATGAGAAAAAAAAAAAAATAAATTGATGCCTCATCACAATGCTTAAATTCTTCTTTCAGACATGATGTTTGTTCTTAGAGGAATTAAAAATCAGAACACTATTGATGCCTGGAAATTTAATCTTCTGTTATATTTGATGATCCCATGTCGTCCTAAACGCAAAATGTTATGAATAGTCAAATATAAGATGAGTGATCAGTGCATGATATAAGAGTGTTTTTCCACCTTTACGCAACACAATAACAAAGAATATGTCGCTCTTGCCACTGTGATGTAATTGCCACAATGAAAGTGAATAATAATAAAAATGTTATATTATTGAAACTCATTTTTGTTATTTCAGTATGAGGACTGCATCAAAGATTGCGACAAGGCTGTAGAAAGGGGTAGAGAATTGAGGGCAGATTTCAAGATGATAGCCAGGGCCTTGACAAGAAAGGGATCTGCCCTAGTCAAGATGGCGAAGTGTTCAAAGGATTATGAACCTGCCATTGAGACTTTCCAGAAAGCTCTTACTGAGCATCGCAACCCGGACACACTGAAAAAACTCAATGATGCTGAGAAGGCAAAGAAAGATCTCGAACAATTGGAGTACTTTGATCCACAAATAGCAGATGCGGAGCGTGAGAAAGGTATAGATGTCTTTCATTTCTCCCTTCATTTCTCTAGATCCTTTTTATCTGAATTTATGTTCACAAATATTATTAACACCTTGTTCGGTTATGAATTGTAGGTAACCAGTATTTCAAAGAGCAGAAGTACCCTGAGGCTATCAAGCACTACACAGAAGCAATTAAGAGGAACCCGAAAGATCATAAGGTATTTGAGACCTAAAACTGCTCGCCTATATACGTATAGAGTAGAGACATTATTTCTCTTTCTTTTGTTTTTTCATTTTTTTTCCTGGTCTTTGAAATGTTTGAATATGCAGGCATATAGCAATAGGGCTGCGTGTTACACAAAACTTGGGGCCATGCCCGAGGGACTCAAAGATGCTGAAAAATGCATCGAACTTGATCCAACATTCTCTAAAGGTTATACCAGAAAAGGTGCTGTACAATTTTTCATGAAAGAGTACGAGAAAGCATTGGAGACATACCAGGAGGGATTGAAGCATGATTCTCACAACCAGGAATTGTTAGATGGTGTTAGAAGGTAACACCTAGTACTAATTCTCTCTTCTTCTTTTTTATTTTTAATTATTTTATTCTTTATTGTTCATTATATCTTTTTCGTTTTCCTTCTGTTCTTGTCCAGGTGTGTAGAACAGATAAACAAGGCCAGTCGTGGAGATTTGAGCCCTGAGGAGTTGAAAGAGAGACAGGTTTGATATATATTAACATATACTTATATGTGTGTACAAACACACATTAATTACACAGTGGTTAGCTAGCAATATCTAATTTGTATAAATCGCTCGATAATTTCAGGCCAAAGCAATGCAGGATCCTGAGATTCAGAACATCCTTACAGATCCAGTAATGAGACAGGTATTCTTTAGATTCATGTTCGGTTTATGAACGATATGCGTAAGGCATGAGTACTAAACTGAATTCCTCCGTTGATTAATTACAATGCCGAATATTTTCCCTATAGGTGCTGGTTGACTTACAGGAGAACCCAAAAGCTGCACAAGAACACACCAAGAATCCTCTTGTCATGAACAAAATACAGAAACTCATCAGTGCAGGAATTGTTCAGATGCGATAGGCAATTTTTCTTCGTTTTCATCTTTCTTTTCAAAACTCAGTCTGGAAATGTGTGTTTGTCGACATTCTCCCGTTTGATAATTTTTTTCTGATGTGATTGTTTTGTTACTGCAGTACTTGATAATTTTACCTGAAACTCATAAGCAACTGCGTAAATGTGAATGAGGAATTGTTTGCATAAAATATGCACAAAAATTTCGTTATCTTTTGCATGATGTGATTTATAAGACAGAAGATGCGAGTATCCACTGGCTCAGTGCCAAAAGTTATGACATTAGCCTAGTCATTATGCAATTTCAAACTATTTTCTATTATTCTGTATCTTGAAATTGGTGGATTTCACTATATCTTGTAACCAGTGAATTTTACCTACAGGGTTTTAATCATAAGATAAACACATCATAGGAGTGTGTATGAATATTTGTGATCCTACTATTGAAACTCCTATAGGGAGATATCTAACATTTAATGAGTGATTAGTTGTCAAATTGTTCGAGCAATTTATCAACCCTTTTATTTATGACGGCTTGTGCAGTGTGATTAGTTAATGAGTTCAGATTGTTGCCACCATTCTAACACGTTTAAAGAATAATGTTACTTTAACATAATTTTTTTGGTATAATGACTAATAAGTGATATAAATAATGTTTAAGTATAATTATTGTTTTTAAAGTTGATGTGATGTATGAAATTACATTAATTTTATTTTAACCATTATGTTAATATAGCATGATCCATCAACTTAATTATACAATAATATTTGTCCGGCTTCAATTTCTGACAGCGAGACGTATCTGTTGCATCTACCAAGAACCACGCACGAGTTAAATTAAACAAATAGAAGTACTCTCTCATATTTTTATTATTTGTCGTTCTGATTGAATTGATCATTGATTAAATAAATGTCGTTTTAGATATTTTGTTTATATTTTTTTATTTTTAATCCTCCATCTAATACACAGTGTCTCTCTATATCTCATCTCCATTGTTTCCCATAACATCCATTAAATAGAGTTAATATTGACAAGAAAAAAAATTCTTAATTAACGTGTTGCTTCTCAAAACGACATATAATAAAAATGAGAGGGAGTATTTTTTGTTTCTTTTTCTTTTTGGTGTCTAGAGATTGTAATTAACTTCTCTTTAATCATGAACAGATCCATGGCTGAATAGTGAGCCTGGTTCAAGTTGCTTGTTCTAGACTTCTAGTCAAGAGTTGCTAAAAAACTAATTTTGTCAAGTGGATATAATACTTGATTAATCTTCTGTTTTCAGGGACATGCTTCAACTTAAAAACCTTAGTCTTTTCAGATTTTTGACCCATTGCACTTTTGATGGACTGAAACCATCACAAATTTCTACCTTAGTCTTTTCAGGTTTTTTCACAATGAATAACACACACATACAACTGTAAGAAACCCAGTTTGCACTTGTAGGGTAAAATATACCTTATAAACTAGCACTTTTTCAATAAATTTTCATAATATATTAAAACGTGCATTTCATAAGTGAAATTCTGTTTTTAAAGCATCCCAACTTAGGCACGAAATAAAACATAAAAGTAGGCTCAATTGTTTTGTTTCTTGAAATGAATATCACATGTAAAGTAGGCTCAATTATGTTATGTTTCTCGAATTGAATATCACTTATAGCATACATAGTCAGTGAAGAAGGTAAATGCCACTTGCAAAATTGAGAATATTGAAAATTCTACGAGAAGAATGAAAGAGTTGTACATATGTACCAACAGTCGAATCAAATCAAACAGTTATATACTTGAGCATGGCTCCACGAATCTTTTCCATATATTCTGCAGCCTGCGTCTGCATAAAAAAGTCGAGCTCAAACATGTTCCAAAATTCACCAGAAATAAATGTCATACCCACAGATTTTTTAACAACATAATAAATAGTTTCAAAGAGAATCCTTTCCTCTTTTTTATATGTTAAAGAATTTCATAAGGTTATTTATGTACTGGGGGTTGACGCCATAGATTCACATACAACTCCAGCGAAATAAGCTTCTTATATTGAGTTGGATAATTTGAAACCACCAAAGACCTGAATTCCCCCATGTCATTTTTTTTTTCAAGGGAAAAAAAATGAACAAAAGAAAACCTTAGTAAGATAAGAATGTTATGTTTTCAACTATATACCAAGCTCCAAGGCATGAGGAACCTTATTAAAATTCTCCCGATACAAATCTAACTTGAGTCATCACTTAGTTTTTGGAACTCGTGACTTGATTGATTAGTACTACCTCATTTGGACCGAACAAAACCAAGATCAACTCGACTGTAAGAGATGGAATTTCAGTTAATGATTCGTCTCACCTGATTTCCCTGATACGCATTAGCAATATTTTCATCGAGAAGAGTCAACAACGATCTATTCAGCTCATTCTGCTCAACCATGTCTAAGAGCTGCATTGTATACAAAGAATCCACCAGTAAACAAAAGGCTTAAAGAAGATAGCACCAACAATATAGATTATAGTAATATTAGTAATGATAATGAAGTAGCATACAGTTGCCTTGATGTCATCTGATGTTAAAAGCTTCATCAAGCTTTTTCTTGCTGTTACAAGGTCGGATTGCATCTTATCATATGCTTCTGCAAGAGAACAATAAAGTAAAAGGTTGGCCAAATAGTCAAACACTACTTTTGCATAATTATTTACTATATTCACCGACCTATTCCTTCCTGCAGTGCTTTTTCCAGAGTTTCCAGCTCGATTACTCTGTCTTCCATATCCTATAGACATCAATCATTTTCACATGCTTTTAGTGATATGTGGTCGTTCATCAGGTGGGAAAACACATGTTGAGAATATAATGACGAACCTGGGTCTTGGATACAGCAAACCTTAGTTTTCCTAGCTCAATCTTCAGATGAGAGAAAAAATCCTCATTCAATCTGCATTGGGATACCATGTTTTGAAAAATAATAATAATAATAATAATAATAATAATAATTCTCAAAATATGATATTGATCTTTAACTGATTGTAACAGTATGACAGCTATTGTAATACACGAGGCTGATATTAACAGCTAGAGTAGTTTCAATTCTGCTAAATTAAAGTGTTGCAGTGATGAGCATTTTAGGTGTCCCTTATCATGTGATTCTATTAGGTAACAAATTAATTCTGCAGAAGAGATTTGTACTAGTTATTTTGGAATGACTTTGCTGTTAGATAGGCAGTTTTATAAGTGGCCAGGAAATGTTATGGTCATTTAAGGCACCGTTCCAAATAACAAAACCATTACACTCGATTATCAACATTTTATCATAACCACAACCCTTTTAACAAACACATTGTTTTGTTTTCACAACCATCCTGCCCACTGCATTACCCTTGGCACACTCACAACACGTAGAAGATTTCAGAAAAAATATATGCTGCAATTAAGAAAGGACATGCGAAGGAAATGTTACACAAACATATCACTATATTTAGCAACCAAGCTAAGAAATTGATAAGCCGCAGAAATTTCTCAAAGAAAAGGAAGCATAGCCCAGAAAAAGAAACTAAGTCTGTTGGAGAATTCAACATGACCTTTGGAAAGCTCCAAACCAAGGTTTGAGCGTAATGAAAATTATCCTCTTAAAAATAGCGAGAGCCACAAAAGCTCAATAAATTAAGTACAAATAGAACTGGGATAGCAGAATTGCAACATCAGGTTGAACATTTGTCTATTTAAGTTTCAATTTATAATGTCTATCTCATACAAAATACATGGTTGATCTTTATGTTTCTTGGACGGGACAGCCTAAAAGGACTAGATATAAAAGAGAAAGATTGGGAACCACACTGAACAGTTTTATCAGCCTGCTAGAACTTTGTTAGTGATAACATACAAGAATCATTTCATTCAATAGACTTGAAATAAAGCAACCCACTAATCTCGAGTGACTTAGCAGCTTATAACATTCAAGGAAAAGGAAAAAAAAAATATCACATGAAAAAAGATTCCGTAAATTATACTAGCGATAAAACACGCATAAAAACGCATAAAATGAAGAAACTGACCGAGGCCTTAATCTTGCAATCTCGAACTCAATCTCCTGAGCCTCTGTATCTAACAAATACTCGACCAATCCCTCCTTAGAATCCGGTATCACCCGAGACTAACATCGAATTACAGGAAAGGAAAAAGAAAAAAAAAAGAAACAGTAGATGAATATCCCTCCAAGATACGCAGCAACACAAATGCCACAACTGAGAGTTCCATAGAAACAGAACAACAACCCGGGCAAGAAAACTGAACAATCACAACTGCAATTCACTCCAGCATGACTATAATTCATAAAATTTATCACTAAAATAGAAGTTATCACAAGTCCCCACCTCGCGAAGGGCTTTCCTGCGCTCCTTCTCCTCGCGCACCTGGCGCTCGAAAGCTTCTCGTGCATCGGCGTCCTTCTCGAGGCGCTTCTTGAACTCGAGCCTCGCTATGTGCCCGGCTTTTGGTGCTCCCAGGATGCCCTCTGGGTCCTTCCTTCACGCATCAAACCGAATTTCAGCAAAAATCATACATACATACACATGCACACACAAGCCACTGTTAAATGAGTAAAAGACCGAACATTTTGCCGCGCGTCCGTACGCTTACCCATCCTATGCAGCGAATTTTAACTGTCTGGTATCTCGGCTTCGCCGTTGATTTGGAGGTGGTGCTCGGCATAACGGCGAGGTTGAGGCGGAGATGTGTGGCCATGGTTGGCCCTTTTTTGAGCTATAGCTTGTTGGGTTATATTATCCGGTCGAAATTTAAACCAAACGATCAGTATC